GAAGGTCAGGAGTTTAAGGCTACCCTTGGCTCTGTAGTAAGTTTGAGGCCAGCCTAAGCTACATGAGAATCTATCTCAGAAAAAGAAAACAAAACAAAACTAAAGCAACCACAAGAATCAAAAGACTTTTTTCAGAGAATTTCAGCCCAGAGGTATGCTCACAGGAACCCTAAGCTGTAGCACTATATGTCAGGCTCTCTCACCCCAAATTTAACTGGAATCCTTTTCAGTTCAACCTTTTCTCAATTTCAGTTCAGGATAGGGACCAGCAGCTTGCCTTCAAACAAAATCACCACAAAACAAAGGAAAATTAAACAGTGATAATCAGGCCCTAGCATTCCACACCTATGCCACTGGGAGGAAGGACCTTTCAGTTTCTTTCATCATCATGACATGAGAACTGTGCTTCTCACTGTAAAGAATTGAACAGTATTGAAAATGTGCTCATCTAGAGACCGGAACCCTTGTTACACATGATACTTATTAAAAGTCCACTCTGAACTTTTCAGGCAGAACAGACACTGTTAAGGTCTTCCTTGAGCACAGGTTCAGGGATTCCTTTTCACAAGTGTGACATCCTGCACCTCTCAGCTTGTCCTGTCGATAACTTGATTTTATAAATAGCAGAGCAAATGGAAGACGGCTCCTGCCTGAAAAGTCAAAGCTAGGCAAGGTTACTGCAGAACTGGAAACAAGCTATTCTCAGATGTCAGAGTTCTTGTGTGTTGGTCTTTTCTCCAAGCTAATTAAATTCCATGTGAAGCTCTGTCCGTCTCTTGAGACATCAGGGAAGACGGTGGAGGAGGTGGGTCTTGACCTGTCTCTATCACACCTCAAGGAGAACCAGCAAGAAAAAAAAAGCATCCTTTCAAGGAATGCCCTTGCCTGAGTACTCACTACTCACGTGTACTTGGAGTAAATCTGTTAAAATGTATTAAAACACTATCAAGTTACAGAATCACAGCAGTTTGGGGTCCAGACTTTTGTTATATGCTTAGCAAAACTTCAGTCAATGACTTTTAAATTAGCGCTCACTTCAAATGTCCTAATGAAAACAAATGCTTGATGGTACATGTGTTATAAAAGTAAATATGGAGTTGAATTTTAACAATCTAAGAATAATTACCATGAAGTAGCTCCTCAATGCTGTTCAAATTAAAGGATTTTGAAATAATTTTTCCTTATTTTTAAATATAAAATTATAAAATGTTGTTGAGGTAGAACTACATATTTGCTTTAAGTATATAGAAAAAACTGGAGATGTGTGAAGGCATTTTGTGCAAATACAAAAGAAATCTTAACCATAGGAGACCGTATTGCCAGCATCTAGTTTCTCTGCGGGGTTGCTGGCAATAGCCACATACTCACCATATTTCAAAAGCAAAGCACACTGAAGATGAACCCTGGGAAGTCGTTGAATCTCTTTTTCCCTCTTCCCAGTATGTCCACATAGAATAAATTTCCTTTTCTCAAAAAGAAAACAAAAAGGAAATTTCAATTGAGTGTATTGTGATTCTCATCACTTTGGTGGAAAATATCACCCTGAAGTGAAAGAAAATTACTTAAGTCCTTATTATACCACTTGAATGCTGTCCACGCTTATTTAATTTATTTTTTTAATTTTATGTCTACGAGTCTAATGCCTGCATGTAGGTAGGTGCACCTGTGCTGTGCAATGAAGTCCACAGAGGTCAGAAGAGGGCGTAGGATGCCCTGGAACTGGAGTTATAGGCAGTTGTGGGTGCTGGGAATCAAACCCAGGTCCTCTACAAGAGCAACCAGTGCTCTTAACTGCTGAGCCATTTCTCTAGCCCCCATTGTCCACATTTAAACACAGAAGTCCCTCAGCCCTCAGCTTCTTTCTAAGCCTCTCAAGAGTCATTAGCATCATGGACTAGAAAGTTGTCTTAGTTTTGTTTTCCGATCTCATGATAAAATGCACAGCCAAAATCAGCTTAGGAGAGAAAGGCTCACAGATCCAGGTCACAGTCCATTACTGAGGGAAGTTCAGGCAGCTGGTCACATCCACAGTCAGGAAGCACAGGTGAATGAGGGCATGTGGCCTGTAAACTCTCACCTTCTCCAACCCTTGTTGTCCACAGACATGCCAATGGGCCATCCTGATCTAGACCATCCTTCCTTGAGAATCTCTTCCCAGATGATTCTAGATTGTTTCAAGTTAACAATGCAAACTAACCATCTACGTAATGTCAAGCCCATCAGAATTTCAACATGGATAGGGGAGGGCTTATGAACTCCCACCCTTGGCTTTCTTTAGGAAAGTTGCCCCTGACAGGTTGCCCATGTCCAGTGGGTAGCCTTGTACCCATGCACATAGGAGCAGCATTGGACTCAGTGGGTTAAAAAAAATAATAAAAAGTTTTCTCTCTACCTCAGTCTGGTCCTCTTTGTTCCACGAGCCTTAGGTGTAGAAGTTCAACTGTAGATGGGTCCCCTAGAACTGGGCATCTCTCAGATGTACATTCTCTGTGTGTGAGGTTGTGGGGTTCTGGAGTAGCCTCCATCGGTTGCAAAAACAAGCTTCTTTGATGAGTGGTGTGCACTATACTTGTCTGTAAATATACGGATCCATATTTAGCATATGGTAAGAAATTTCATTTGCCTAGGGATATGACAGAGATAGGGTTTTCTTTAGGAACTATGACCTCTCTAGCCATGTGTATTTGGCTGTGTTTACAGTGCCACCTATGAGTTCATTCCTACTGAGAGGGCTTTAAGTCCAATTAGAGAGCTGTTGATTGCTCCCCAGATAACAGTGCCAATAATGCACCAAAAGAGGTAGTTTTCTGTGCCAGTCATTGTGGTTATTAGGCTTTAGGGCTGGGTTGGACCACTGATTGATTTTCTCCCTTAGCAGCTTGCATAGTATCCTCTAGAACTGTGACAGTTAGTCTTCAGGAAGCAGGCTTCCAGGTCAGTTCCTGCTCCACTGCTCAGAGTCCTATGTCTGAGGTATGTCCTGTCTTCAGCAGTAGGGTCTTATCTTGAGTTCTGGATAGGACTCCTATATAAATCTCACCTACACACGGCTCAGGGAACCATTGCTGAACAGGGGGAGGAAAGACTGTAAGAGCCAAGTTTGGTCCATGAACATAGGGAAACAGGCCTCTGGCCACTGGAAGCTTGTACATGTGAACTTGGAGCAAAGGTGGCGTCCAGCACAGAACCCATGCTGACTCAGTGGAGCAAGGGAAATGGATGTGGCCAGCCCTAGCTGGGAAGTGTTGGAGACTGATTACTACTGGGTGAGGGAGAGTGGACCCTCCTTAAGACCTCTAGATAGGCTGACTAGACGCCAGTGGATGAACTTGCACCAAAGGACATCGGGGTACAAATGATTGACTGGGTAGGACTTAACATGTATGGCAAAATGCATGAGATCCAGTGGGGTGGTGGGCATGGATGGGGAAGGGGGGTATAAATTTGATTAAGAACTGTTGTATGAAATGTACAAAATTTCAATAAAATTTTTTAAAGAAATAAAAAGGACAGGAAGCATGAAGTTGGGAGGGAAACCTTAGAGGGAATCTGGGTAGAATTGGAAGGCAGGGAGTAGGGTGTGTGTGTGTGTGTGTAGATAGATAGATAGATAGATAGATAGATAGATAGATAGATAGATAGATAGATATAGATATAGATAGATAT